CAGTCTTTGGAGTATGCCATCATTACTATCAGGAAAACAGTGCCCTTAGCCTAAAGTACCAGTGTTTCCGCAGTCGCCTCTGATAGGTGAATGTCACATCGACCCATGTCCTAGAGAGCATAACCCAGGAATGCTTGTCTTTCCGACCTAACTATACTGATTTTCATTAAAAGTGCTAAAATGCCAACACATAAGCAATCTCAAATGAGGAGAAAGGTTATTTTTTATTTAAAAACTTTTGCTCATTTTTCAGAAGACATTAGTCGGCCTATGTAAGCCACATGGAGCTCTGATCTAAATGGATGTATTTGTCACACAATGCAACTGTTCTGACCAACGCAGAGTGATGGTCAAATTCAGTCCTCACATGTGTCCCTGTGAACTGCATCCCTGGAAGGAGGAATGGGCTGCAACAAGGAGCCCATAACACACCAGCAGCCCTCGTGGGCAGAGCTCAGGCTTCCTAATGCGCTTTCCTGGCTCTCTGGTCCATCCTTGAGATTTATGTACATCTCATGGGTATAAGTGGGACAAGTATATAAGGGTGTAGAAATCAACTCTACTTTTAGCAAAGTTGGTATGACCATCGAGAATTCTAGTGAAAATAGAGCAATAACTACAAGGTGAAACGCCAAATGTTCTTACAAGATGCAAAGTGTGCTTATATATGCCTAATAGGAACACTAAAAATATTTTTTCTATTTAGTAATTTTACTTTTTTGCTTAAACAAGCATTTTAGTGGATTTTTATCTATAACCAAAAAGAAAAAACTCAGGACTTTTCATCAGATTTACTGTCCAAGGGACACATGCCCAAGAAACAATCAACTTAATGAAGCCAATAGGGTACTCATTACCCAGGATTCATGTTCAAAGTTAAGTGGCCCCTTGATTATGTTCCAAATTGCTCAGCAATCTCCACTGATTGTGTCTGTGGAAATATCACCACAGGATATTTTCTGGGTCTGCATTCATGAACTTTACTTGCACAATACTTTGTATTCATGCTAACTGGTTTCAAAGTACAAGTGAGTAACCAGTCAGAGGTAAGAGTGTTCTGCAGAAATAGGAGTCCAGGTTTTTCCATAAGCAAGAGGTAACCCTAGACAGGTGACATCACAATCAGATTTCAGTTTCTTCATCTATAAGGAGAGGCACCTGGATAAGTTCCATTTTCCCCCAAACTTCAGACTTATGTCTGTCACCTGTTCTAATAGTCTGCTAATTACTGTCTTTAAGTCCACTGTTTAAATATAAGTCAATGTATCCTAAAAGAAAACTTTATATTAGTAATATAAATAGTGAACTAATAGCAGTTGGCACCAATGTACTTAAGTAATTGAAAGAAAAAATAATGTATTAAATTCTAACTAAATTTGATGTTGATAGCTGAAGGTTCTAATCCTGTCACCTGTTCTCCAATTAAAAAAAAAAAAAGAGCCTAAAGGATAGAGGAGTTGACAAAGTAAACATCTGAGGCTTTGTAAGCCATATAGTTACTGTTATAAGTACTTAACTTTACCATGATCATTACCTTCTGAAAGTATCTATGAGTCAAATGTAAATGAATGGGCTGGCTGTTTTCCAATAAAACCTTATTTACAAAGACAAATGATGGGCCAGATATGGTTCACAGTCTATCCTTTGCCAATCCCTTTTGTAGAAGAGTATGAGATAGTGTTATCACCAGACAAAGACTTCATTAGAACTGAAAGAAAATTTTAAAAGCAATTTCTATCCCAGTCAGAAGTCCAATGAGCTTTAATGCCTTAGTGTCCAATGTCATCTCCCTGAAAATTCTGGCTTTAATTTCATCTCTAACATTCTCTGATAAACCTTTTCCTTTACCTTTGATATTTTGGGTAGGGTGTAGAATTTCTCAACTGTGTAAATCCTCAATACATTTTCAAGTTGTCTCTCATCTTCACTGGGATGTCAACAGGTAAAGTTTCTAAGGTTTCTTTACATCCATGGCTCTCAACCCTACTTATACATTAAAATTGTCTGGAGAGATTTAAAAATACCAATACCTGGCATACACTTATCCCTCAGAGATTCTGGTTTAGTAGGATCACGTTGGGATGCAGTCCTTTGTACACTGTAAAGCATCCTAAATTATCCTGGTGGGCGACCAGGACTGAAAAGCCACTGATCTCTATCTTGTCCAGGTCATCTTCCCCAGAGTCCATCCTTTCCCCATTTGGCATTAATTCTAAGAGCCCCAAGCTCTATGTAGCTCTAAACTACTCAACATCTGAAAATCTTCACCTGCAAGTCCTGATGTCCCCCAGATGGGGTCTGCTTGAGCCCTCCTAGGTGCCCTGGCTAAGTTTTCACTCTCTGCTTCATCAACCTAGAAGACTTGAAACCTCAAGATATCTGGCTGGACAGGTTTTCTCTCCCTTCCTCCCTACCCACTAATGTCACTGACCTTTGGCATTGGTACAAATTGGGGCAAAGTCAAGATGTAGATTCCACAATGTATGAAGGAAGAGTCCTTCTCCCCTAGAAAGGAAGAGAAATGTCTTGTGCCTGCAGAGAAGAGTTCCTCCATCCACTCAATCCCACATGCTTGGGGCTGGTGGCACACAGCTCCGCTCCCCTCCATTAATACACAAACACTGGGCACTGGCAATGCAAGAATCTTACCACCAAGAGGCTTACACTGTAGGGACAGAGTTAGACTAGTGAATATGCACAATAATGTATTTTAAGGGGATTTGATAGAAGTCATTAGGGTAGAATGCAAGCACAAAAAAGAAAGTCAGTTGCACACTAGAAAACATCTCACAATCAACTGTGCAAGGGAAAACAAAAACCCACTGTGTGGTTTTTTCAAAATTTTGTGCTGTAGCTATTTCCACCATAGCTGATTTTATATTACCGACATGATATCCCTGAGTCCCACGGTGGGAAGGGCTGCATACAATCAGCTCTTGCAAGCTTGCAAAGTTAGGATCACCCATCCTGGTTTTCATGGAATTGTCCCAGCTCTAGCACTAAAAATCCCACATTTCACAAAACCCATCAGTCCTGAGTAACCCGGGGGTCAGAAATGGTTTCAGAACGGAGGCCAGGCTTCAGCATATTGCTTACCAAGGTCCCTTCCCCAGTGTTGCCAGTGGAACTAATGGTGACCAAGTGTTGAAAAAATGGAGGGCCATGAGGCCCCATGCTGTCAGTGCCAAGCTTCTTTGGCCCTCTGTGGACTCAGAAAGCTACAGTGTAGAATCCATTGGCAGCATTCTTCCTCTTTCTCCCCTACCTCATGCTGCAAGGCCCCTTGAATCAGCAATCAGTTTACACAGATTCAGTTCTGCAGAGATGTAACATGCTTCTTACAAACATAGTCAGCAGGGTGTCAAGCAGTCAGCCAAGAGAATAGCAGAGTGGAAACTGTGGCCATCCTGCCATGGCCATCACAACTTTCCAGTCTTCTGAATCCTCCTGCTGAAATTCAGCCTCCTGGCAAGGTAGTGCTTTAGCTATTTACCTCCATTACATGCAAGTCAAGGTGCTTTGGGAAAGGAGGAGGACAGGAGGAGGGGGTGGAGGATTATCCTGCCAGCCAGCTCCTCTGCCAGCTGTGCGTCGTCATAGAGACCAACACTCTTGTGTGATCTTATTTCATCTTCTCAAGACCCACCTGGGTGGGGCAGATGTCAGGCCCAGATGACAAGTGAGAAGCAGAACGTATGACTCCATCTGAGTGGAATTTAACAGTACGGCTGTCCTGCACAGAGTCTGTCGATGCAGAGACAGCAGCAGGTTGCCTGCATTTTCCATTTCACTTTCAACACTTCTTTTTTTTTTTTTTTTTGGTTTTTCTCCGGTACCGGGAACCGAACTCACAACCTTGCGCTTGCAAGGCAGGCGCTTTTGCCGCTGAGCTAAATCCCCAGCCCCCTTTCAACACTTCTTGATCCCTTGGGAAAGGCTCTTGGCTTCCCTGGCCAGGAAACAAATCTCAACAATGCTGCTGTAAAAAATGACATTCTAAGAGTTGGACCAAAATTTCTATTATTAATTTTTTTAAATAACGATGTTGATAGGGACCCAGAGAATCAGTAATGAGGAGTCAACCGTAGACCTTCTGTGTGTAGACTGTATGAGTTTGAATCCCCATTCCATCTCTTACTAGCTGTGTGTGCTTGGGTGAGTGATTAACCTCTTCAAGTGTTGATTTTTTCATCTGTGCAGTAGCAGGCAATAATACCTATCGATAGGGTTGATGGTTAAATGAGTTATTATATGTAAATTCAGACCACTACCTGGTATATAATAAGTGTTTGTATTTTGCTATCGTTCTCAGTTTAAAATTTTTCTCCTATGAGTTTCTCTAAGACTTTTAGCCCTTGGGGCTGGGGATTTAGCTCAGCGGCAAAAGCACCTGCCTGGCAAGCGCAAGGTCGTGAGTTCAGTTCCCGGTACCGGAGAAAAACCAAAAAAAAAAAAAAAAAAAAGACTTTTAGCCCTTGCTATTACTTTTACATAAGTACAAAGTAGTTGCTGATTTAAAACAAAATTATATAGTCAGTCATCTTGAGTTTACTGTGGTAAACTTCCAATTTTAAAATCCCCATGCAAAGTACCATGAAAGGGACTTATTTAACTCTCAATAGAAATCAAGTCAAGATAGAAGGAAGTAATAAAAATAACATCCAGCCCTCACCATGTGCCAAGCATCCTGCTGAGAGCTCCAGCTACACACCCTTATCACAGCCCATAGGAGGTGGATATTAACATTTATCAGGTGAGAAAACAGAAATGAGAAGAGGCAAAATAGCTTCATGCCTGGGTCAGGGGTAGTGATCAGTAGACAGAGAAGAGGGGACCTCTATAATCTCAAAGAAGTCCCTTCCTCAAACTATACCGGTTTTGCCAACTCTATAATGCTCTTAAAATCTATACAGACAAGTTTGCAATGGAATATTATTCAGTCTTTAAAATGCAAGGAAGTTCTTGTAAGGTCAGCAGAGGAAATTGATACAAAACACAGCAACAAAAAATGAAGTTTTATTGGAGCAGAGATGGCAGGCAAGTCTCTAAGGATAGAGACTGTGCCGATGGTCAAGGGGAGATGATAGATGGGTAGACGACAGATGATAGATAGATAGATAGATAGATAGATAGAGGGGTAGGACCACTAGGAGTGGCATGAAAAATCTAACAAAGTGGGTTTGTGCTGGAGGATTTGATTTTGATGTGTAGGAGGCTTTATTTAAGTGGGCAGGACATTTTTGGGAGGGGCTGACATTTGTGGATTAGGTTAGAACAGGATGCCTGTCAAGGGGTAAATTAGATTAGAACTGTCTGTCTGAGAGGCGGGGTTGGCTTTTGTAGTTTCACCACGGGGGTTGGGACTGCAATGGACTCTTAACAGTTCTGCCACTGGGACAATTTGGCTAAATCTTCAGGACACCGTGCTAAGTAAAACAAGGTAATCACAAAAAGAGAAATACTGCACACTTCCACTTACATGAAGCACCTAAAATAGTCAAATTCATAGAAGTAAAGACAGGAAGAGTGATCATCAGAAGCCAGGGGCAGGGCTCACGCGGGTGCTTAGCTGGTTTAGTTTCTGTTATATAGGATGAATCAGTCCTAGGGATCCTCTGAACATGTGTTACCTTTAGTGAACAATACTCTGCACTGCACGTAAGGACTGGCTGGGAGATTGGACCTCACCACATGTGCACACACAAAGCACACACAGACTGCCTCAACTGTGGCAGTGACTGCACGAGTGTGTGTATCCAAATGCATCAGATTGTGGACACTAAAGCGTGGCTCCCTGCATACCAAGTATATCTAAGTTGTGTAAATTTTTTTCAGGAATTTAATAAAAAAATAAAAACAAAAACAAAAAAACTCTATGAAAGGTGAGTTAGCCAGAGTGGTCACCCTTGTCTCCACATGCCAAGAACCAGCGGTGGCAGTGGTAACTGCTGACACTGGAAAGAACTCAAGCGTACCCAAAGCTACCCCTGCACAGCCCTCCCCTGCCTCCATTTTACTCCTGCCCAGGAGCCTCGGGCCCCTGCCTGCTTCTGATCCTGGCCCTTGTTTCTGATCTATTCTGCCTCCTCCTTATTCCACACCAACTCAGAAAGCAGCCTCTGCAGATAAGTGTGTGGGAGCCCTCTGCCCTCTCCACCCCAGCACTTCCTGAGAGCACTTCTGGCTCAGAGCCAGGATACCAGGCAACCACTTTCAAATATTTACTGAGCAGAGCACAGGGAGCAGGACTTCTGAGGAACTGTGCTGGAAATATCAGCCAATGCAATTGCCACTCCTCCCATTACATTTTCATAATGCTTCAGCGTTTACAAATGACCCTTACATCCTTGTGTCACCAGCGTCCCACTCCTACGTGCTGCCAGCTGAGTGCTCCTTGTAACCCAACACTCTGCTACTGGGTCCCGGACATGCCTGCATCTAAATGCAGTCACGCTACACCGTGAGCAGGTGCATCTCCTCTTTAACAAGGAGACAAGGCTCAGAGAGATGGGTCAGCTCACCCAGCGGGGACTGTTCCCAGCAAAGGACAAAGCAGTGATTAAACACAGATTAGACTCTGAAGTCTGTACTTTGCGACTGTCACCTTCAGTGCCATCCTATTTATCACAGTGAGCATACAGGCTTGTAGACACCAAAGGCATGTTTTGGGGATCTTTGTGTCCCCTGCACCCAGAATACTGCTTGGTATACAAGGGCTCTTTAATATCTGCTTATAAAAGGAAGGGAAAGAAGAAAGAAGGCAAGAGGAGGGAGAGAGGAGAAGTAGAAAGAGGAAAAGAAAAGGGAGGAAAGGAAGGAGAGGTAGAAATTCAGAGGGGAATTGAATTCATCTAAGATACACTTTAATTAATTCACATGTCTCTGATGCCAGCCGGTCCTTGTGCTCGTCTTGATATCATCCAGACAGAAAGTCAGAGCATGAGGACTGACGAGTATGAATGCGCTTCAGGCTGCATCCTGGAAAATCTTGCTTATCACATAATACACACAGCACCCAATTTGCAAATCATTTCCCTCAGCAAGCTCCTTCACAAAGCCCGTCTCCAAGGTTTGCTATAATTCAGGAGATGTTCCCAGCATGTCTCTTTTCTAAGCATTAAGATTTCCTTGGGCTGGAATTGGAGTGGGACAGAGGGCCTTTAGTCTCTTTAGAGTCTGGCATCCAGGTTTGTGGTGTTAGGGACTTGATATGCATCCACTTCGCCCATGAGCACTCACTGTGCTGCAGCAGGGGCTGCTGGTTCCTGCGGCTCCTTCCAACGGCGCTGGCAAGTCCTCCTCTGGGTCATGCAGGGAGCAACATTCTTTCTGCTCTGTTGGTGCTGCTTCCTAGACTCCCAGCATCTTGGTTTAATTTCTATGCCTTCTCCTCAAGAACAATGGGTCATTCACGTCCTTGTGAAGGAACATAGAGACACAGTGAATGAAAGGGAGGCCTACCACAGGGAAGAAATCCAAAGTACAAAGTCCCCAGCTTATCCAAACACCAGGAAGTGCTTTCCACAGGGTTGATCGCATTTGCTTCTGTCTTGAGCCTGAACCCAGGGGGTGAGGGCAGACACCTCAGCAGGACTGGAGCCCAGCAGGACCTGCTCACCCCACGAGATGTGAATTCTCACACTTGTCAGTAAGACAGCTCACAAGGTGTGGCATCTAGGGCTTCAACTGGGCCCACCAGACTCCGTCAGAATTGTTAACCACTCTATTGCCTTGGGTAAAAATATGTTTTTGGAACTTGGTTTCCAAGCTATAAATGATGGAGGAAAAATGGGTCCTTACAGTGCTATTTACAAGGTGAAAACTTCTCAAATAGAAAGTTTCTGAAATACTCATTGCTCTTCTGCCTTCTATAAATATTGGTTGTTTACATTTATTATGCACATGCTGTTCATGGCTTCATCATTTTGCATGAATGACTTCATTTAAATTCTCATGAGAGCCCTATGAGGTAATCATTATTACTTATCCTCATTTTCCGTGAGGAAACAACAGCACAGAGAGGCTCCATAACTTGCCCAAGGTCACACAGCAAATAAACCAGTCATGCTGAAGTATGAATATAGCCTGACCAGAAAACCTCGTTCTTAAACTTGACTAGTATATCTTCAGTGGCTACCTGTTATGAATTATGATATTCTTTGGGGCATTGTGAAACATATATAGATATAAATATGTTTATCTCTGTGTATATTTGAAGTAGATATATATCTACATATACATATCTGACAAGTTGTTTTGTGTGTGTGTGTAACAAATTTAGAATATAAATAGCATGTTGATTCAAAGTATGCAGAACTGAAAATCTTTATAAAATATATATCTCTATATATCTGCTTATAAGTATATATGTATATAGATCTTCATATATGTATACAGAGAGAGATCTTCCAAACTTGTTGAAACAAAATATGCATAATTGTAATCTGCCTAATATCACTTGATGAAATTTTGCAAATGTCGTCACAAGACAAAAAGTCATGAGAGAAACAGGAAATGCTATGTAGCCTCCCATAATCCTGCCACTGAAAAATTACTAGAAGCAGCCTCTGCCCTTACAAAGCTGACACTGCCCCCACTTTACAGATGAGGCAATAGTGGCTTACAGGTTAGTAGCTAAGTTCACCTGGATGCGAAGGGGCAGAATCAGATTCAAACCAGGACTCCTGGATCTCCAAGCCCAGCCAGTTGTATTGATTGGTATCCAACTTTTGTTTCCTGAACGTCCATGCAAGTGACACTAAAACAAACAAAGCAAGGCCTGTGGCTCTGCCTATCAAGTGCCTACAATTGGACGCAAGCGGAATGTCTGTGGGTCTACGCAAAGCCTCAAAAGCGTGCCTGACCTTGCCAGCTCCTGCCACCCACTTGTGTCTGATTCAGTCCCCACATCCTGTGGCAGTGCTGCTCACTGGCTTCTGGTTTCCAAAAACCCCTAAATCTGCTAATTGGCAGACAGGCTGAGGCCAGTTAGCTGCCACCTGCTGACAATGAACAATGCGTGTGGAATGCTGGCTTTGGCAGGTTCCAGGGAAGGGGCCTTCAGAGGAGCCAGGACTCACAGCACCAAGTCACTAAGGAACGCAGCCACTGTGATGCAGCCCTGGCCCCGACCCTTTTCTTCCTCCCTCGTTCTCTTTTCTAAATCACATCCCGTGATCCCTTCTCTATGACGTCAAATGTCCTGCTGTTACGAAGAACAGGACTGCACTCTGTCCTCAAGCAGAGTAGGGAGAACACCCAACATGGCTGCAGGGGTTCCTACAGGAGTGAGGGGCCTGTGATCTCAGCCTGCCCTGCTGTGACACAGACCCTGACCCCGTATTTGCCAAGCAAAAAAGGAAAGAAGCGAGTCTCAGTGTCACCTCCATTCCTAACACATCATTCAGCCCCCTCACCCGCCACTGCATCCCTAGGTACCTGTGTTAGTCTGAACCAAATGACACTATATCCCTGCCTCCCGCTCTTCAGAACCTGGAACTGTGCGACCTTTGTGTCATTAAACAACCTTACTAAAACAGGAAGAGGACCAAGAGCAGGAATGCCCTTTTTCACCTGCCGCAGTCGGGAAGTCCTGGATCCAGCCTGGCTCTGACTCAGCCTTTGCCGGAACAGGTGATCTCAAACAAGTCTTCACATGGCCCCTGTGAAGAGCCCTCACAGCTCCTCTGTGCCACTGAGGAAAGGGTGTGCTGTGTGGGGAAGCAGTGGGCAGGGGTGCCCTGCCTCAGGTGCAGCTGTTTTCCTGGCGCTCTGTCTCTGTTTCTGTTGCTCAGTTTCAAGTGAGACAGATAACAAGTGTCCCACCACGTTCTCTGCACCATGAGGCTGGCATGACCTTTGTGGATTAGCCTGTGGGTGGGAGATTCTGCTGTCTAGTTCAATTCTGCATCCCTTCCTGAGCCCTCCATAATCCCTCTGATGAAAGGCAAAGATACCTTGTACAATCTAATGTTGCTACTTCCACCCTCAGAGAACCACCTACTCCCAAAGCAATCAAAAAGCAAAGGAGCTTCCTAAATGCAGCCTGTACAGTCTTCAGAAGGACCTCATGCATGCTTGGTATAGTACTTCAGTGTTGCCCTGTTGAATTCTTAATGTTTTTTTAGCAAGGAGCCCTGCAAATTATGCAGCTGGTCGTACCAACAAGCCTTCAAAAGTGCCACATGGCTTTCCCATACCCCACAAAAGAACTGGATAACAAAATGGGGTTCATCGCTCCTCTGCCTGAACATGAAAGCCCTGGGCACATAGGAGTATGAGGCAGGATGGAGCAGTGGGTAGAGTATGTGCTTTAGTTGGTGAGTTGGGTTGGATGCAAACTCACAAGACATTCAACAAAAATCCCTCCACTGTCTGAACTCAGGGCTCCCTACTTGTAAGGTAGACTACTACCTACTAGTTTTTCCCGACACATAAGTCTGTAAATTGCATGGCATGTGTCAGCTGTCCAAAATATGCCCCCCACATATGCCCCCCCCACACACACACACGGTTCAGGAATAGATATTTTAAAATGGGCCAGACCCTCACATTGCAAAAGGCAGTGAGGCGATGGCAACCCTGAAGGCCCTCTAGGTTCTAGGAGCTTAGGATTTCCCATTAATCAAGACCTCTTCTAGACCATGGGTTTTACTGAGGACACTTCAAGCTGCAAAGGCAGAAATCTAACTCTTATTAACTTAAGGGGAAGTTTATTAACTAGTGAGACTGGGAAGTGAAAGGGTACAGGCACTGCTGTATCTGAGGGTGTTATTCTGTCCACCCACTGCCCTATGTGGTGGACAAGATGGCTGCCAATGGCAAGCCTAGACCAACAGTCTCTTAGCTTGGCGCCCAGAAGGAGGAGACAATTTTCTCTTTCAGTATATTAATCAATGAAAAGACTAACTGATTCTACTAGGACTACATCCCCACTCCAGAGTGACAGGATGTGTCCACATTGGTGTCTACAGCTGGACCATGGGGCTCAGGCCTCATGACTGACAATGTCCATGAAACCACAATAGAAGAGGGGCAATGCCCCAAAGAATACCAGGCAGGTGAGTCAATGTCCTCTGGGCCAAGTGTGACTAACAAATCACTCCCACTAGGCACCAAAGAAAGTGAAAGAAGGGAGAATGGAATCCAGGTGGCCTGGACAGTAGCATTAAACCAGCCTTCATTACAGGATTGGAAATATGGGGGCACATGCCATCTCATGGAGATGAGGAAAGGGGAAGAACTGAGAAAACCTGGGGCGTGTTCAAGACTACCAGCTGCATAACTGCAGTTCAACTTGGTTATCTTCAGCTTACAGAAGCAGTACTGGTTTTCCATTTTAGTGCTAATAAGTGTTTCTCTTAAAAATAATTTTAAGTAAAAACAAAGTAAGTAGTTCCACTGAGAGAAAAATAATAACCAAAGCACAACATCAATACAGGTAACCATGCACGCTCACGCTCGTGCATGTGTTACGTCAAAGACTGGAGCATGGAACGCAGCTCAGCATAAACGCTTAAAACCAAACAACGCTCTTGCTAGTTCATATGGTATCCCTGAAAACTAAATGCATGTTCCTCACTGTGTGGGTGGCAAAGGTCCAAGTGATCTGTAGTAGGGTCCTAGAATCCTCAGTTTCTGGCTGGCAAAACCTATTCCGTAGATATACTGTGTCTCATGGCAAAGCAGATAACCAGCACTCTAGGGTGGTGACCACTGTATTATTTTCTGTCACACAAAGATGAGATTGATAGGAAAATCACTCCTCTCAGCATTGGCCAGGCCTATTGTTCCTGAGAACAGAAGGGACCAGTCTCCTGTGGTCACCCACAGCCAGCTGGCCCCAAAGAGTACCAGCCATCTCCCTGGACCAGAGCTTCCACAGCTGATTTCCACATGCACCCACGTGCAAAGTGGCAACTGGTCCCTTAGGAGGATGACTTCTCGGTCTTCCAGTTAGCTACCAGTTTCTGCAAGAGATAACTGAAGAATGATTGTATTATCCCCTCACATTTTCAATTCTTTTCTGCAGGCCAAAGTGAGAAGTCATGAGGGGTTTGATGTGGATCGAGACGCCAAAAAGCTGTACAAAGCCTGCAAAGGAATGGGTATGAAACACACTTCATTTGCTCATTTATTTTTAAAGTCGATTAAAATTGATCTCATGACCAACTTTCCCACAGGGATAGGAAGATGCAGTACATATCGTGCATTCCAGGCTAACTCAAGTAGATCACTTCTGACAATCTTTCTGTTCAAGTTCCCAAACCCATAATCAGATCCTATTACCTTTCAGCATTCTGTATAACAGTTAGAAGCTGGATATTGTGCCATTCAGTTGGACTTTGAGGAGAGGGAAATATATCAAGAAGTGACTCATGAAATCCTAATGTCATGTAAACATCTTTCCCGGGAGATGGGGAGGAATGGGGCCCGATGAGGCTGGATTAGGGATGTGGGAGATGTGTCTAGGAGTCCATCAAATGGATACAAAACAGGGGTCAAGGTTGAGAATCTGGGGTCAAAACTAGAGAATCTATTTACATAGTGTATGACTAAGAGTAGGGCACTAAGCAAGAGGTTGGGAGTAGGGTGAATCCAGGACCAGGTCGGGACAAGACAGACAGCATTTAAGCCTATGGCCATGAAGAGGTGCTCTGGGACCCAAAGAGACCACTGATGACACAAGGTTCCAGGAGCCCAGAAGAAGGTGGAATCCAAAGCACAGACAGGAGGATGAAAGAGCACAGACTGACAGCTGGAATAGATACATCTGTAGGTGTGGTTGGGGCAGAAACTGAAGGTGCTCTTGCATGGTGACTTTGCATAGCTCAGTGAGTGGGAGGTGAAGTTATCTGCTAAAGAAGTGGGTTTGTAGTGGAGTATGGGGCTTGAGTGTTGCTTCAGAATAGCCTGTGAGTAGCAAAGAACAGGGAGATGACCAAGAAGAGTGCTGATCCCCTCTGAGGGTCCCACAGAGAAGGGAGATGACAGGCTCTCATGGCTCCAGCCCACAAGACAACGACTTCCTCTCACAGCCTGAAAGGAGGAGAGGAGACGTGAGTGTTAGGCTAGGCTGAGCTTGGTTTGCTAGTGAGAAGCCTCAGAACAGCAAGTTGAAGGGAGAGAAGGCTAAAGGGACAGGCAGATTGAATTTCCTGGCTCTTCTAGTTTTCATTTCTTAGGAATCATTTAAGTTTTCAGGGACTCTATATACAAAATCTCACTGAGCTGTCCTTATAAAAACCCACTTTCCAAGTACTCCATTACTTGAAAGGCCTAACAAGTAACACAACTGAAGTCACAAAGCCAGTTGGTGGTGAACACTGGAAAGGATTGTATCCTGTCACTCACTTCAGATGCCTCAGTTTAGAAAGACTGCAGGCGGCCACCTCGGTCACACAGCTGAAGGTCCCCAGGGATGAGGGTGGACCTGAGAAGACATTGCACAGGGGCGTTAACAACTGGTAGGAGCCACCAGAGTCCATAGGGTGTTTTATTCAATTACTCTTTTCCTTATAGTGATATAATTCATATACCTTACAACTCCCCTTTTGTAACACTACAATTCAGTGGGTTTTAGTATGTTCCCAGGGTTGTGCAATCATCACCACTAATCCTAGGACATTTTCCCAAAGAAAATCGCATCCCCCAAAGAAACCCCAAAACCATTAACAGCACCCACCATCAGCCCCAGGCAGGCACTAACCCAACTTACCTATTGCTAAGGATTTTCCTGTACTGGATATTTTATATTAACAGAGTGATACAATACGTGGCCCTTTACATCTGGCTTCTTTTTCTTGGCATAATGTTTCATTTAGAAGGAAATTAGTAGAGATTTACTTTCCTAAGATTCGGTGTCATGGTAGAATAAATATGGTCATAAATTTTGTGTGTGCCTCCAGAGGAAAAAAGTGGGATGTATGGTGAAAGATCTAAGTGGGTACATCTTGCTTTGTTATGAGGAAGAGTCTGCTTGCCCAGGAAATGTTGGGCAGCAACCCTGAGGCAGTGGGGGATGGGAATTCTGGGAGGAAAGTAGTAGGGAGATTTCTACATAACGCCAGCTGAGGTAAGCTGAAATCTCTCAGCCTCTTGGTATCTCCATTTGTGTGGTAGCATCTGTCTGGATCAGAGATGCCAGGCATATGGCACGCACATCACCCATTCCATCTGGATCATCATGGCAGACATTGCTTGTGGATCCCACAGCTCTTGCTTATACATAGGGGCAGGGGTGAAGAGGGAGGGTAAGGAGGGAGAGATGAAAGGAAAAGGAGGAGAGAGGGAGACAGATGGGGAGAATAGCTGCCGGAAGCAGTCTGCTTTGCATAGGAGCAGGGTGTTCATGGCTCTGCCTTCTGCTAAGTGACAGGGACTCCAGGTGCTTTCCAGGCAGGTGGGGCTGCCCTGCTGCCCTTGAGTGAGACCTTGGGCTAGAGACAGGAGGCTGAGTGGGTATAAGAATGACAGTGCTGCACTTAATGATGTATCTCTGCTTAACCCACCTGAAAGCTCAGCTCAGTATGCACAGATTGAGCTCCCAGTGAATGCCACCAACATGTGGTGTTTTGTTCCCCCTGCTGCACTTGCTCATAGGGGAGGACCGATATGGTACTGGTTACTGTGCAGCACCTTCCATGTGCCATGTACTAAGGCAGATGTCACACATCCCCAAATCTGTGTGAAGTTGGTGTTGGTATTAACTACTCAACGGATGAAAATCCAGGCTGTGAAATGAGCAGGGACCACTAGAAACTAAAATCTCCTGAGAGGTCTGATTTGATTGAAGGTCTAGATGCCCAACCTTCACTGATGAGCACGGGCTAAAACAGAATCCTATTATTAGCAGTGTTGGTCTATAAGACCATGGGCCCATCTCCCGATGGACCAGCCCTATCAGGGTTGGATTTAGATAACTAGGGAGATGCTGTCCCATAGCCATAAGTAGGAGCCTTACAAGTCACTTTATATTTTTGAGAAGCCAAATTTTAAAATAAAAAGTAAGTGAAATGTGTTATTTTAATTAACCTGATTTTTATAAAAATATCACTCCATCAAGTAATCTATATAAAAAGTAGCACTGAAGTATTTTCCCTCCTTCCTTTTCATATCAAGCCTCCCAAAGTCCAACATGTCCTCTGCATTCACAGAGCATCTCAGCGTGGCCCAGCCACACATCAAGTGCCCAGTGGCCACATATGCCCCCATATTCACAGAGGCTCCAAGCATCACAAAGTTTGTGTTCGCTCCCCAAGCCTCACCCATGTATGTTAATCAGCATAGTGATGTCAGGCCATGGAATAGTTCATTCTCCAGATGACGCATAACTCACAGGTTTCTTTCTTTTCTCTGCTCTCCTGGTGCGTGTGTGTATGTGTGGGTGGGTGGGGTCTGGGTCACAGGGAACCCAGAACAGACCCACCCCTTCCTCTCCATGCTGCTTTTTATCAACCCCTTCTCTCTGGGTGTGGCCCACAGCTGCCCAAGCACCAGGTTCTGAAGGACGCCCCTCTTGCTGGGTCATCCCGCAGGGCCCACTGAAGAGAAGGCACTGAGCGTGTGCAGCCAGCAGGCTCTTTGAGGTAACAGCTGCAGGAAATGACCCGGATCACAGCTGCTCAGGCTTTCCAGGGCACTCGAGTCATCCAGTGGTGGTGGCAGAGCTTGGCTTTGCTGAAAGCCAGGGTTGCTGCCTCCTGGGCTCGGCCAGGCAGGCCAGGGCTGGCATTAGAGCCCGAGACAAAAGCTTAGCCTCTGTCACCACCTCAGACCGTTGACTGGCCCCTGGGGCCTTTAAACCCTGTGGCCTTGCCTGGCAGAAACACCGCTCAGTGTATTCCCAGAAAACTGCTGGTGAAGCAAAACCACAGAGGCACTTCGAGGGCTGACAACAGCTCTGCTCTGAGCCCGGCTGTGTGGTCACTCCCCGTGTTCGTGCTCAGGCAGATCAAGGGTCCTTTTCTGAGGTTTTGAAAAGTCCTTCCCAGAACCACGAGTGACTGGCCTCAGGGCCTCCAATTAGTGTAAATGTTTACAGGAAATTTTCAGCAATGCGGAGTGCTTATATGACACACACACTGAAATGCAGAGTGAGGTCACCTTGCAGCAAACGGCTTCCTGGCCAAACAGCAGAAACAACTTCCAGGACCAACCTGAGGGTTGAGGGAAATCGAGGCATTGTTGTCACACCCTGCCCCACCTTGGGCTGTTGCTGAGCCACTCCAGGACTCCTGTGCTTTCTGGCCCGTCTTGTAAAAGCACTCTAGAAAGGAACGTCCAGAGGACATTGCTTTTAAATATGAACTCAGAAGGAAAGTCTAGAGGACATTGCTTTTTTTTTTTTTCTAACATGAACTTGGTTTTCTTAATTATCCAGATATGGGTCGCAGGCAACATTAGAGTAGAGAGGATTTTCCACTGGTCTTTGTTACATTCAGCTTATATGAGTATCACATGCACTTCATACCAATGCGACAGGTTCCATCATACTGATGTGCACATCTTTCCATTCATCCATTCATTCATTCCTATATGAATTCATTCACTCAGTAAGCATCATCTGATAAACACTGAGAGCCTTCTGTGTAGATACAGCAAGGAGCAAAATGCCCTGCTCCCGTGGAACTTGCTGGTTGTTATGACAGAGACAGCAAGGACAGCTCACGTGTGGGACACAGAGGGAAGAATGATTTCATCTGTCCTGTGCTTCCATTAAAGGAGGAGCAGAAGTGAAGAGGGATCAGAGATAAAGGTGTTCCAGGTAGAGGGACCAGCCTATGCAAAGACACAGAGGTAAAGGAGGGGTGTTTGTCCTAGGAGCTGCCTTCCTTTCTGGAATGGGAGGACAGCAGGCCTGAGAGAGGATGAGTAGGTGGACAAGACTCTGAGAGGCAAATAGGAGCTCCAGCCATTGGCTCCGTCTGCACTGCTGAGGAGTCCCAGCTTCATTCTGTACGTGAAGGGACCTATAGCGAAAGGCTGGAAGCAGAGGAATGACCAACCAGGCTATTCTGTGCTTTAACAGGGCCCTCAGAAGGCAATGAACTGTACTGCAGATGGTGACAGCTCTACAGGGACCCATGGGTACTGTCAGTGATTCTGC